AACAAATATATTGTGATTATAAAGACATTTAAAATGGTTTTATATAATGCAACTCTCTTCGACATTTAATGATTTTATCGATTACTAATTACAATAGAATATTAATTTAATACATGAATTATTATGTAACCAATAACAATAATGTTTTTAATAAGATTTGATATTTGTTTGCTAATACAAATATTTTAAAAACAAATAGACAAAACCAATTTATATAAATGTACAGTATGAAAAGTTATCTATTACGTCGGAGATAGAAATGTATTCATGTAAATTATCTTTATATAGTGCATAGAATAATGACAATATACAAATTAGTTTAAAAAAAATTGAGTGTCGAAATCGTAAATTAAATTATAATTTAATCCTCAAAAATTGTATAATTATATAATTTATTTTTATATAAAGAGTCATTATATAATATAAATACAAGTACATACAATATAGAAATATTTATATATGTGTGTCTATAAAAAGTTAAAATAATATTATATTTGACTATACTTTTTTTTATTTCCTTTAAGTGAAAAATATTCTTGTTTGAAAATAATTTATTACTTGATTGTTTAATTTATTCTACTATAATTATTATTACTTGTATTTTAACAAATATAAACGGCTGTATTGTTTATAAATGATGAACTTCAATTTGAATTTAATATTTTTTTCTGTGTTTACTATAAAAACTCAAAAAAAAAAAAAAAAAATGAAAGTATGAACTAACTTTTTACTAGTTTTGAAATAAGTTATATATTATGTATTTGAATAAAGCTTGAAAACTTTTCAAAAGTTATACTACGATTGAGCAAAATAAAATAAGAGAAAATAATATAATAGGATTTTATGAAGAAAATAACATGCTGATAGTTATGGGAACTTTTTTACTCGATAAGTAAGTCTTACCAGTTAAACCATTTTTGTTCTCTGTCATCAAATACAGGGCCATAGATATCCATTAAAATTTTCCTCTCAAAGACAAGAAGTTTATTGTAGTTCCCTCCAATTGTAACCTATATTTGGCATCCATATGTAACATTTGGTCTTAGATAAGTAATGTATAATTTCTCTTTAGACTTTATTTACAGCAGCCTAGAATTAAACAAAGAAGATATGGCGAAGTACGCTTTATTTGCAGACTTTAGGCGTAGTAATTTTCTCGTGCATACAATTTGTATTATTTATATTGACAACTAGGTACTTAAAATAGCTAAATTAAAATTAAAGATTACCAATTTTCAAATATTTTATAACCTCATCACTTTTCGCCTTCCTCGTCAGGAACATGGATTTGGTTTTTCTTTATATACTATAAGACCCATTCGCTTATTCATATTCATTAAACTATAATTATAACTAGTGACTGGGTCACATATTTTCTAGTATCTCCAAGAAATACCAGGTCATCTGCATAAACTAGGCAAGTGAACCCTTCATTTACTTCTTTAATATTTTCTTTGAGTGAAATCCATGTAATTTCTCCTAATGCAAGATTAAATATTACCGATGAGAGAGCATATCCTTGTTTAAAGCCATTTTTAACTGTAAATGGTTCTGAAATTTCTTCCATTATCCGGATAATATTTTGTCTGGGATTATTACATATTTCGATTAGTCTTACGAGTTTTCCAGAAATGTCTAACTTCTTTAGTGCGGTCCATGGTTTGCTGTGGTTCATAAATAAGTGAATTGTTGCGAAAAAAAATAATAAAATAAATGCTCGTAAGTTATAAATATTATAATACATAGGCGTATAAAAATAATAATATTATCATAATATAATTAAAAAGCATCAAATAAATTCAGAAATTTTTCGAACCACAAACATTTTATCTATGGTAATTTTATTATACTATCCATAAACGATGTTTATTAACAAGAGAAAAAAAAATCTCATTAGAGTATGTATTTACTGTTTCCCGGTAATCTATTTATAAATTAGATTTGCAATTAATAATGTTAAATACGTATAAATAACGGTTGTGTAAAAAACAAAAGGCAATTAGTATATGAAAAAAGTAAAGAAGACAATAAATACGTTTGCAATTACATGTCCCCTTACATGTGAACTCGAAACGACTAAATCAATATTATAATACATGTGCGTCGGTATACTTAAATATTGGCAGTAATTAAAAGGGTGCACACAGCGTTGTAATGAGTCTAATGCGTCAATATAATAAATGGACACTACGCGATTGCAGAAACGAACAGTGTTCGATCCGGATAAATCATACGTGTCTGAGCAAACGGATTTTCGAACTTTCGAATTTTTTGCTTGTTCATTCACGCACAATGTACGTTGTGCATTTAAACTCTGACGCAAACGAACGATGTTCGTTGAGAAACAACAAATTTTTGTATAAATTATAGCGTAAGACGTATCCGAAAACATCAAGCTATGCTCTGAACGCATTCGTATATCACATTATCATGGTGTCCACTCTTCGAACTCTCACGCATTCAGTTGTTTTGATAAATTCACCTCATTGTACTCTGCTGCTTTACCAGCAACTACTGTTTCCCCACAATATCTCGTTTTCGCAATTTTCATAAAACTTTAGCATTACGATTTTAATCGCATTTTCACTGTTCAGCGTTCACCTCGTAGCGCACGCGACGTGTTCCGCTCACGATCGCCTCGTGATTTTATTTATGCTCTTCGTCCATATTGCTTATAATTAGGGCCCGGATTTATATGCTCAAAAAACCTCAGAAATATGCACTATAAAATATGCATATATGCTTTTATTTTGTAGGAATATACCCTTATGCAAAAAACTAAGCCATCTGCAGAAAAAATATCTTTATATTCGGCAACAAATTTGTTAAGTCTTCTAGACGTAGTTGCAATAATTTTCGGTATTTTAAGTATAAATAAATTAAATCGAATGAAAATTACACACATTCCGATCATAACAAATACGAAACAAACACGACTAATGTATGATTCACGAAAACCTACACAATAACAGATTACTAAAAGTTCTGTTAAGTCTCAGATAAGATAAGAAAACGATTTTACCTGATTTTTAATCATAAAATTGCGTAAGAAGTTTTAAGCGTTGATACTAATTTTCGTACTGGTATTGGTGTATACCACATGCTGCCTATACGAGTGAACTCAAAAGATTTAATAAATACTTTGTGTTTTACCGCTATTATGTTTATTGTTAATGTTATCAAATATATATCAAATAATATCAGATATAACGAAATTTCGTTATTCCCGTTATATTATACGGTATTTCCCGAGTTTCAGTAATAGTAACAGGTTATAAATGTCAGGAAATCCAAATTTAAGCATTTTCAAATAACTTATTAACATTTATTTTATTCAAATAAAAAAAGTCGATTTTATTTATTTATCAATTACTTTTTTTTTATTTAGTTATCCTCATTTTATTTATTATTTTATTATTAATTTTTTTTATGAATTATTATAGCACTATATGTACCTATATGTATTCTATATTTATTAAATATAATACGGTGAAATTAGTAAATTTGACAACGTTGCATACAATGTCATACACAATGGTTTTTATTTATTTTTCATACCCCCTTTTTTGTTATCCATCTACAAACGTACGCAATCGTGTTGCCAAAAAGGAAAAACGTACGCAATCGTGTTTTACCCAGTTATAATAATTCGTAATAAAATATAATGTGTAAACAGAAGATTTCGATTGATTCTTATCGATTCAACGTTATGATAACCGTTTCGACCGATAAATTACTCGCGTAAATCATCCGTGTAGCTATGTAGTAATACAATATCACGTCTGTATAACATTACATCACAATACTTCGCAAACTTGGCTTTGAGAAAACGTTATCTTTTTATTACTCCATCATATACATTTTAAAATATAGTACTTACATTTTAATTATCAATTTTTACATATAAGCGTATTATACGTGTAATATATATTATGCCGTGTAAAACTTAAGTATAAAACTAATTCTTCTAAATACGTAGAATATGTATCACAGACTCAATACTTTTCCGTATAATACTAATATCATAATACGTATTCCAATCAAATTCATCTAAAATGATATTAAGGACGAATACTTGAATAATGTTTGTAAAAAGTAATCAGAATATTTATTTGAATAATCCAGGAGTATTAACCGTATTTGAATATTATTCTAAATAAACATTCTGTCAAGGTTAAAAAAAAATATATTTTATAAAAATAAAAAAATTATAATGAAAATATATATTAATATGAACTTAAAAATAACATGATTTGTTACATATGTTTAGTTTGCCTTCCGAATTTTTTACCTATATTTATTGTGTGCAAAAAGTTACGTTATGTAAGCATATACGAAGTTTATGTGTAAATAAAATTATCCATAAGTGAAATTTCAATTATAGGTATGAAATAGTTATAAAAAATATCCTAACGTAATCCCTAATACAGTTTTAAAATAAATTCAATGTCTCAAGTAGTTTTGTTAAGCAACACACATAAGTTCTTAGTGTCTAACAAATTTTATTTCGCTTAAACATTCACTCCCTCACATTAAAACACCGAAATCGTGTTTTTTTAACAAAATATAAGTGATAATATGATAAAAAATCGTATTGGATTGCGTTAATGTTATCTTATCAAAATTAAAAAGCAATTTCATTGTTCAATGGAGAGTACGTATTACTATACTGTTCATTTCCGAAAAAACAAAAGAGTATGGATTTTAAACATGTAGAACGCCTAGCACGTCTTTCGGGAGCGCGTGACATAACTTTTAAAGTTTTAAACCCAAAATAAATACATGAAAACGAAACGTGAGCGGGTCTCCGCAACACCTTGTTTCAATAGAATTATGAATAAAATTCGATTCCGTTTTTGTTATTGGTTTTTTTTTTTTCTTTACATTTACCAAAATATATACACACATATATATATTTATAATCAAATATTATAATGATAAAACTGATACTATTAAACGCCAACATGACGCTGTACTTTTATTACGCGCTCTTATTTCAGGAACGGGTATCTTTAATCGTGCCTTGGATCGTCGGACTCATAACTTTCATGGCACTTGAAGCGGTTGCCATTGTTTACTCAAACGTTCTCAGAGACCATGTAAACAAGGTAAGTTGTAAACGTAGAACCGTGTATTATATACAAACACATGGAACAATGGATATACACTTATGTCATATTATAACGTCAAAAGCAATATCATACGGGATTACTAGAGTTCTGTGTGTTCTCGGGTATAATATATTATGTATTAACCTAACGTTGAAATATTTTTATTTATAGAAATTCGACTCGTTCTGCAAAATCGAAGTGACCTTTTACTTGATACGGGCAGTACTGAACGTAAGTAAATAACACATTTAATGTCGGGTCGAAATTATTTTATGTATTTATTTGTCTTACTTTATTCGTTCGACCTAGAAGATAAAAAAAATATATAATATAATAGTAAGTAAACAAATAGTTGATAAATAAAAATAATTAATTAATTAAAGCTTTATAAAAAAAATAAAAAACCATAAACTTTCCATACAAATGCGACAATTTAAATCGATTACCATCGTTCGCCTGGTATATTTTGGTATAGAATGAGTTCCGTTTATAGAATTAACCATTTATTGAAATAAAAAAATAATGAAGACCTGAGCTAAATTTTATGTAACTGATATTAAATTACTTTTTATTTAAATCACCGTATAATTAAAATCCATTTATGAACAATCGTATCGATTTTATGACTTGATAACTGATAAATTTATAACACCAATCGTATTTTAGAACTTATCGATGTATTATTGTACTCGTATATTGCGTCGTTCAGCTTCAGTTATATATGGCGTCATTTAGCTTGTTCTTGTTCGTTATGCCCAAAAATATACCATAAAAATAGGGTAAACGGAACGATTTATCGATAAAATAAAATAGAAGATTTAACTTATTCGCTTTAATAAAAATTTTCGCCTAGAAGAACTGCATTAACCTTTCATTAAATTAAATAAAATTTCAAAATCGTTTGTAAACTGTCGAATATGGAGAATAAAATTTGCCTCCTTCCCGAAACAACTACTGAATAGATAAAATATCGATGTAGAAGATTATTTGTTATGATGGTTTCAAAAAGCTCGAAATTTAAATGTATCAGTCAGTATATTTTTATAGAAAAAGATTAAATTTAAATTTACAGTTAGATGTTGACAATTTTAGTCCAATGATTAAATTGAGTGGTTTACTCGTACTAAATAAACGATAATTAAAATATTAATAATTATTATTATTATTTTTTGTGTTTGTTTAATAACTGTTATTTGAAGTTAAGCATATATTATACACCAATAAATCATTCTTAAATAATCTTTAGCCGGATGCTAAAGCTCTTACAAAAAATACAAAAAATTAACATCATGCCAGCAATTATTCTACTCGATTTTTCAGAAAATAGAGGTACAACAAATTACTGTCAAATTCTTTCAAAAATAATAAAATAAAAGTAAAAAAATAATAACTGAATCAATTGTAATAAATGTCGTTTTTAGAAAACAATTTATGAATTAAAAGGAAATTAGCTCATGAATTATATGAATGTACGTTAACTATATTTCAGCCCACCACTGCCACAAATGACATTTGGCTTTCGTCTTTACAACAGCGCACTGCAATAAATGTATTTTTTATTACCGTAAACAATAATGTTCACACATAACTGGAAATAATGACACTCACCAAGTAGTAATGTACAAAAATAAGCGAACACTATTTATAATAAGTACAAATATGGATATATGAATTTTACCAATTTTTCCCTACTTACGAGTAAAGCGACTGAAACTACCATCGTAAATAAATAATAAAATAGTGATATTAAATACACCAATCTACGGTCTTTGCACGGCCTGTAATTGGATAAAATATAAGCCACTACGATGAATTAACAAATTGTTTGATATTAAATTTAATTCGATAAAAAATCTTATCTATCTAAACAGTGTTACATCTTGTGTTTTTTAAATTTGATCAAATCATATAACCGTTACAATAAATGCTTGTACAATATTTGATTAGTTACTTCTAAATTTCCGATTTATTCGAAATTTTTTAATTTATTTATCTGTGCAGAAAACGTCAGTCAATTACCATTGATACTGTAGTACGTTACATTTTCAATTTCATTTGGTTCGCCGTAGTAGTGATAAAATAGTAAGAAAAACAATAATTTTAATAAAACGTTCACTATTGCCAAGTTGTATTTTCTATCCATCATAAGCATATAATTTTGTTTGTGGTGAAAAATGTATTTATACCAAAATATCTTAATAAAATACAATTGCCGTTGTACGAATAATAAAGATATGTGAACACAGTCAAATATTCTCGAAGTACAGAAATGCGGTATTGTTACAAAAGAAAAATGTATGATATAAAGATAAATGTGGGTTTTTCTGTTTTCATGACAGTTAAGAAATAGGGGTACTTCCGAAAAGAAAATTTCGTATTCTTCATGGAAACGATAAATTACTTGGATTCAAATATCTTGGGCTGTTAGCGGTGAAGGAAGGGATATCCATTTTTCAAAACAATAGATTCGCCTAACCGTGTGGTTATGCGTATAATCATACAGTCATAAATTACTATATTAATATGATGCATGTTATTATGGAAGCCATCGCCATCACCGTTAACAAATAACAATACTTTTACTATGACCCCAGGCAGTGGTGACTGCATCTTTAAAAATAGTGGTTCAAATGATTTTAGTTTAGAACCTATCACCCGCCCAATGAACCATTAACCAATAGTTAATTAATAAAAAATAAAATAGTAAAAGCAAAAAAATTATTTTATATGGCCAATATTAACAACGAAAATATAAGTACTTATATATGTAGATAAAGTTCTCTAATCATGACTAAAAAAAATAATAATAATAATAATTTATAAACCAAACTACTCAACATCAATAATACCTAACAACACTTTCTACTATTTTAGAAAAATAATTTTGAATAAAAAGGTGTATTTGTACTTTTTTATCTTTTTAAATTTTTCTGCCAATTTGTTTTATTTGGGCTTCCTATACTTTTATACTTTTCTTATACATATCACAATACACGGGCATTTAAAATAAAATGGTAAAATCATCAATAACATGATGAAGGTTCTATCGAGAGACTGTGGAAACGTCGGTCTTCCAGAGTTCAAATAGGTGCATCAATGTGTCCATTACCCTTCATTTGATATCAAAATATATTAAGTATATTTTTCAAACTCAATGTGTCTAATAAAATGAAAATAATTTGTTTACATATATTATTTCGATTTACTGGTTACACATAGATTGATGCGAAAGCACGAGTCCGCGTTATTACTATCGATACCTACAATAATTATTATCCAAAGATCTATATAGAACACATAATATATATTCACTGTTCATAATGATCATTATTCTGTGTTTAAATATCGTTTGCATATGATGAACAGTAAATTAATATATTTTCTTTTAAACTGTATTGTAACTTATATGCTCATAAATTTATACAAATTACAATCATGTCTATTCAATTATAATTTTATATACCACCTAAGACCATTAAACATCCACTCACCCATCCAATTCAGGTGGTTTACTTGAACCACCCTAAGTACCTGCCCGGCGTAATGACCTCAGGGATTAAAAAAATACTAAAATGATTCTATCGTTAAAATTAATCTCTTCATTTTTCTCCTAAATATTTTGTTAAAAATGTATTTTTACATCCCATTTTGTTACCGTCTGAATCATAATAACCATACGTTTACATTCATACAGCCGTAACAATTAATGTATAGTCTGTAAGCTAAAAATTAAAATACTTTTTAAACAATTTTTTTGTTAAATATGTCAATTACTATTATATATTGTAAAATTTTAATGTTATTACTTAATTATTATTACTTTCAAGGTTAATATTTACCTTATAAATATTAAAGGTTTTTTTTTCACGATTTCATGTTACCAAATCATGGAAATTCTACTGGACGACTCTCTATAACTATATCTTTCTAACCAATGCTTTAAAAAGTTAAAAAATTGCTCGAAATTTCAAATCTACGATACCTAGATAATTGCACTTTTCCACATTCTGAAAATATGTTTATTTATTCATTCAAATATATTGACATTATTTGCACTGTGAAAAAAAAAAATTCTTAAAATAACTTAAACAGAAATCAACTTATTAGGATCGATTGAATCCTCTGGAAAGCAAAAGTTTACTACATATAAAACGCCTCGGCTATGAGCATTCCGAACAAAATACTTGTAAGATTCTCTCCATTTATCGTGTTATGAACGTATTATTATTAACTATGCACAGTATGCGTGTGTTACATTACCATGAATTTATTGCGCGTCATTTGCGTATAATTATAATCTCAACGCTGCCGCCTAAACATTTCGTCACCTCGAAAAAGCGAACCCTCGAGACGAAATTTTTCCGAGAATAAAAACAACGTGGTGACAAAATCAACATTAGTGTTTGTGTATGTGTTTTTGTCTATGTGTGTGTAAGTATAGTGCGGGTATATTATAAACATATACCGCCTGGTCTTAATAAACAACTACCCGGGCTGCACGCGGGGAAGAGAAAGAGAAATAATATCCGGTGCATTAATCGACGATGAATCGCACAAGAATAGCGCGCGTTGAGTGAGCTGTTTGCCTACTCATATGCACGCAGGCATTGCGAAAAACAAAAGGTCCCGGCAGCATTTATATACGTGCTGCGAGGTGGGCATTTAAAGGCAAGCGACTTAATTTATATAAACTCCGTCGGATTAAACGGCATCGGTGAATATTACGTCTACACCAGACTTTGCTAGTAATCAAAACGCTAAATTTTTAATCATCACACGTGTGTCAAATTATACACACACACACATATGGTAGACGTCATACGTAATTTTTTTATAATATTAATTATACGTACGCGATTCACTGCACGCTAACGTCGTTGTATAGGATACTTCAGATTTCGCTATCGAAGACGAAATCTACACTTCACTATGCCCAAAACTATCATGTCTTAAAATGTATGTATACATCTACATGTACCTCTCAAAGTTAAAAATGCCTCCCAGGCAACGCCCACGTCGGGAATCGCTAATCTATGTTACAATAAAACTCTATCAATAAGGCTCATCCGTAACGTATTATAAAATATTTGACACCGAACATATCTTATCTTTAACATGATTGTGACACAAAACGAAAATTTTATAATTTATAAATTTTTTTTTATTATCATTTTTACTTAGTTGTTCGTCAATATTGGTAGCTGCAGTCCATCACGGCATCCGACAATCATCGATCGTTTTTTACGCGCATGCTGGTATCGGTCCATTAGCTTATACTCGCCTACTCGTCAAGTCATATGCAATTACGGCGGTATCCAACAACACTTCAGTCATTGTGATTCTCGGAATAGTTTTCCTTAACGAACTTGTGCGTGCAGAGGCAATTTCGCCTGCACCACTCGGCCTACAACGTAAACAGCGCGCATCAATCCCATTTGGTACAACAATAACAAAGTTTTACTTGTGGCCGGGGACGAAAAAAAGTACATGTAGTTCTTCGTTGATTAAATACTTCTTGTCCTAATACAGAATGTCGTCGTTGATTCTTTTGAATTGTAAGAAATAATTTTCCTCCTCCTCATCCACCCCGTTATCCGAATCGCGAAGTTATTGATATTTTCGTTACGATTAGACATTTAAATTTTCACCAAACTCGTTTACCGACGACCACTTTCAAGTCAATTTTTGCACATATTGTTTGTATTAGGTTTGTATAAAAAAAACTAACGATAATCTCTCACTGTTTCGTAGGTATAATTTTCGCAGTTCTTCGAACGTAAGCAAATGTAGCAATTGCGTTTCATTTACCATATCTACAATAATGAAATAAATGATGATAAGATGTAGGTAAAATAAAATATTGAACAAAAAATTACACATTCGGTTGGTGAAAATACATTTATCTGTTTATTAAATTTTGGAATTATACTGTCACAATACACCATTATTTTTGCTGAGTATAAAAAAAAAATGATTCTATAAATAATTCACTCGTCAGGAAAATAATTTTCATCATAAATGTGAATTCACGATTTTAGCATTTTAACGCAAGAAACCCCCATTATGGATAATATTTTTCTTTCGTTGTTTTACAAACTTTAAAGTGCAAAAGTAATATTTGGCTTAATAATTTAATGATATAATCAATATTAGACAGCAATAAATATAAGGGCTTTAATAATTAAAGAATGATTTATTATCATGATTAAAATAGTTGTATTATTTATTATTTATTATTTATAAATTATTTATTACTTTAAGAAGTTCAATGCTATGATTTTATACTATTTTTACTATTTTATGTTATTTACTGTGAAAAATATGTATTTCATATGTAGGGTGAAAAAAATGTTAAAACTTTAAACCAAATCCTCTCCTTCCTCTTCCCGTCGATTAAAATAAACTTCTGCAAGGATCTATTAAATTCAGAACTGTAATTTTTATTCCTTAAGGGTTCTGTCACCGAACAGTCTCCTTCCTCCTATTATATTCATGTCATGTAAATATTTCCCTCATCATATTTACTTGCTGTGAATATGCTACAGATTGTAAATTTTAATATTTTAAAGTATAAAAATAAAAATGCTTTATAACCACGTATTATTGATTTGAAATACATGAATACAACAGTGCACAGTCAAAATTCACACTTAAAACCTTTCGATAAACATAATAATACTACTACTTCATGTGCTTTCAGCTGAAATATTCTTTAAAAATAAAAAACTCAAAAAAATAAATAAATATATTTATTTACATATTTATGATTTTTTCCACTTTTATTGAATTTGTAATTACGAATTCAGTCTTTATAATTGTTTTCCATTACGTTTGATGAAAAAATTACCCATACCAATATTATTTTTGATGAAAATTCATCACCATACAGACCTAAAATTGATTATTAGACTGAGATTTAACTAGATGTCTGCGTTTTGTATGTACTCTGAATTTTGTTACACCAAAGTCCGACATGATAATAAGTCGCATATTACACATCTTATACATATTCCTATTTACCATAATGTTACACAACCAAAACATATGCACTATCTTCTGCCTCCTCAAAACTAAGCTTTATAAAACACTTTAATAACAATATTATACTGCACATTACTATAATGAGATGTGATGATATTATACTACATACTGTTACGGTGATATCACTTTAGTCCTTCGACCAAGCTTTCATTCGATATAGTATTTACGTAAAATAAAATATTCATATAGTATTCAAAAAACAAATATAGTTGACACTTATTTCAATAAATACGTAGTTAAATCCATTACTTATCTGAGCCTTAGCATACAGGAGATTTACATAGTTTCCGCATGCTGATAATATGCGCGTGCGAGAATGGGCGCACACACAAACCGCATACACACACTCACACCTCCCAATGTTCGATTAAATATGTCGGATCATGAATAACGAAAACTAAAATATTATGAATGGTTCGACATAAATATGTATAATACAATATTGACATTGAGGGATAAAATACTATTCGTTTAAGAGATAAATTTTCTTGCCTTCGATATTACACACCACCCGACGATGTTCAAATGAAATCATTTTGAAAATAAAAAATACAACGCTATACAACAAATAATAATTTAATGCAGAAATTCCCGGGAGAAATTCACAATTAGTTTGATATTCTCGGTTACATTGAGAACGCATTTAAAGGTGATTTCGAAAATCATAAATAAACGAGCTGTGGTGTATAAACCACATTGACGTTACCAGGTGTTCGATTTAAACTTTAATGTTTATTACAATAATTGCCATGCAGCAAATGCTTTTTAAAGCACAACTACAGATTGCCAAAAACAAAAACTGATATATCTATAGGCAGCTACTTGATTTAAAAAAACACCGTTTAGTTTTATTTAGTTCCTAATGGGTTTTCAATACGTCAGTTTAGAATGATAAAACTATAGATTAATGTAAATAAAACTGAACGTTTTTGTAAAGTTTACGTCAATAACTTATAGACATGGAAAAAATTACTTACATTTTAAATGTATTGGAATTACAATACAAACTATATAATTTTGATCACAAAAACATTAATTTTAGTTCAAAACAATATGCTAAGTATGGTTTATTGATTTCAAATAATTTTACTCGAAAATTTGTCTCAATAACAAAAAAAAATTGTTTAAAATGTTTTTTTTGTTTAATATAATATCAAATCTGTACGTCATAATGATTTTTGTGAGCAAATTTTGCAACATAATAAAATGTTATAATAGAACGAATGACATGTTGAGAAAATCAGCCTTTGAAAATATCTTTTAATTAATAATTAATTAAAAGATATTTTCAATGAATTTTCAAGATATTTTTAAATTATTTAATAAGCCTCTACACCGTTTAGATTATATGGTGGGTATTTTAAAAAGGTGATGATAGACGTACAAGATATGAGTGAAATAAAGTGTATTTAAATGTTTATAAATTATTCAGATATAATTTTAAACTAAAACATAATTTTTTTTCGAAAAATTTGTAAAAATCAATGAAGAAAATAAAATCATGATTTTACGCTCAATCGTGCAATAACAGATTTAAATTTACCAATAATTTCTAAATAAGTCCAACGAACTCAAGTGGAAAAAAAATTGTTACATATTTATTGTTTCATAATATATAGAACCCTATTTTTAGACAAAAAAATATTATCCAAAATATTTCAAAATAAAAAATGTAACCAAAAAGTCATTAATATCTGGAAGCTATTAATAACCAATAATGGATCACGTTAAATATTGTGCTCGAAAGATATTGGACAAAAATGCTTATTTCTAATTTTTTTTAGTTCACAGTACTACGAATACTTAAACTTTATAAACACATCAATATACAATAAGTCTTTTTCAAATAATATAATAAATATCTCCAATCAATAAAATTATTTTATTGATCATAGAAAAGCATGTGTTGTACAATTATCATCGAGTCGTTTGAAGCCAACATGTCAATATTAATACACAATAATAACCTGTTTTATGTTGTTTTTGTTGAATAGGTGCTGAGTCTATTAAGTGTGATAAAATTCTACAACATGGTGCGATTGGGAGTAACATGGAAAGGTCCAGAAACCATTGAACTGTGATGTAAAATATCGGGACCAGGACGTTTTCCTGGTTCCATATCTTCTTCTGAAGACACTGATACGACTGTATCCTCAAATATGGATGATTTCTTATAATGAACACTAACAATATGTAAATGTTGTTGTATATTTTGTTTTGGTTGAAAATTATTAAAAAATGTGTAATAATAAACACAGATATTTTATTTTTACGTATTGTTTCATAATATGCTATTAACATAAGAATAATGATTTTGGTGAAATGAGATGGTTTTAATCTTGAAAATAAATATTATTTTACGTAATATTTTAGTAAATATTTAATTCTGAAAATGATTATTAATTATTATTATTAATCATCAAACAATGAGCAATCATTAACTGAACTGTAACAATAAAATATAACCTTTGGAATTTAATAACACCGATTTTTTTTCAGTAGGAAAAAAATTAATCCAAACCGAATGTGACTGAGATATCATAATCGTTCACAAAAAAATAATGTTATTAATAAAATAGTTTTTTAATAAATCGAAATCGCAAGTGACGAGAGCTTTGCAATTTAACGAGGAGTAAAAAATACTTGAGACAATACGAAGCTTGTAAGAACATAAATTCAACGACAAGAACCAAACCGTGTTCCGTTGAATAATTTTATAATACTAACATTTAAAAAATATGATGAACCCACGAACTTGTAGAAAGAAAAAAAATTATAAAACTCAACAAAATACGTAACAGTACATCCATTTAAATGGATTTAATCTCTGACGAATTATGAAGAACACCCTATGTAATATTTTTGTCCATCGATTTATCTGATAATAGTAGATCATTAATCACATGGACATTTTCAAAAGTGCTGTACAAAACTGTAAAATAATTAAATACATTTTAATTTGGAGTCACTTAAAATAAGAGTAATACTTGATCGGTATAATTTATTCAGTACATTGGGATATTATAAAAACAATATTATTTTATGTACAACAATCGAGTACCATTACAATAAATGTTTAGTGGTTTATTTTATTTTACGATAACGGTCTGAGGGAAAGAGAGACAAACATTTTGGACGAGTTACAAATTTGTCTTTGAATTTATAAGCCATGTTTCTATTTTTAATATTTCTGGCATTTCTTCAACTCCTTTTTGCCGTAGGTGTATCCACCATTCGTTTTGTAACATTCATTTTTATACACTTTTTTTTACCCATTAGTGTACACATAATATTTTGGATCAAATATTTTTTGGCCGCTTTAATCCAATTTATCCATTATTTAGACACAGTCTTTTAACACGATGTTTTCGCAACAAAAACATAAATCGTTACAATCCATTGTTAAACCACGCCCCTTGTTGCATCAATATAATTATACTCTGTTTAACTTTAAATCGAAAACTTTTCGTTGATCCAGAAACGTTAACGAAACCATCGTGTAACATAGAATATAGATAGATATACCTAAGCCTAGGTAAAAACGAACCGGAAAAATGTTTATAAGACACACATAATATTATTAAAGTATTATTATTATAATTAATATTATTTTTATTATATTTATCGATAATCATTTGTATAAAACAAACGGTTTCGAAGAAACATGTTTACATGCCACGCATAAATAAAGTGCAACGTGAAACAATCAATTCATCATCATCATTCACTGTCACGAGAATAATATACTTTTAAAGAAAAACCATTAAATTAGCAATTTTCATCAATAAAATTCTTATTCCAACCCGTGGAACGAGAACAAAAGTAAAAATTGGTTACGTGTGAAAAACGATAAAAAATCACCGCGGAGATCTTTACACCCATGATTAATGGTATTTTTATTTTTTTAAATAATATTATAATGACTACATACCTACATCGCCGCCGCAGCCGCTACCGCCGATCCTAATGGGTTGCCTTGTTGTATACCACTCGCGTACACATTATTTATACATATATTATGCTCGACAGCGTATCGTATTGTCGTTTCGCAAAAAGCTCGGTTTCGGTCAAAGGCAAAATCGTCCGTTATTAAGAAGCACCAGCGTGACATGTTGTCTCGGTCTATAAAGACGGAATCGACCAATAGGGAATCTGCGTTCAGCAGAACCGATTTCATTAGCTTTATAATAACATTAGAACAAACTGACCAAGTACAATCAAACTTGAAGGGAAAACTACGTCATTAACTGTGTTCGAACGTCGGTTTCCTACGATATTTTTATTTTCAAACGAGTCACAGGAACGTGAAACATATCGATTTGAATAAAACTCACGACTCTCTTAAAAATAAAAATACCGTAAAAACCGACTTAGTAACACGACGTGTTACGTGTTACTAACACGAATCATGTTTTTATTCTTAAAATATGATTTAGGTGAGTTTACACTAGTTTTAATATAAAAATGGTATTATTGTGGTTTTATGCACTGCCTTCACAAAAACGTTCGAACCGAATTCGCGACGACCACGTGCATTGTGTGCAACAATCATTTGATGTCCTATTCAGTCGTTACCACGTTTCAAGTTATTAATTCCAAATTGGTAATTGGAGAAATGGTATCTGGTGTAAATATGTTACGGGCAAAATGGAATACCGGGCAATGTACTCATTTCTCAGTCAATTTGGTTCTGTCCGGACAATTTGAACCTCGAATAAAAATAAATCTATTGGGTACGGTAGTAGAAATCGGTATGGAATATGAATTATATAAACATTTTAAAAATGTTACTAGAGAGACGATAACGTTATTTTTAAATATTTGTGGTTCGTGTCAGAGAAAAGGAAATAAGATGAAAGGAGGATTGGTGGTAAAACCGATTAATTCTTCGGAAATTAATTCGAGATGTCAAATTGACCTTGTTGATATGCAAACGCAACCAGATGAAGATTACAAATCTCTATGTATTTCTCGTCTCCTTGCCCTATCATCACGTCATATTAGCACGAAAATTTAACTGATTAATCATTATTAATCATTAATCAATTATTGTTCATATATTGTCGTCTGATTTTATTTACATCTATCAATCTAATATGGCTGTATGAGAAAACAATAGTTATACTATGGAAGAATTTGAATAGTGAGTAAGAAATATTATACTGATATTTTTTTACTTTATTCTGTATACAGTTATAATAAATTACTGGTAAAATATTGTATAGTGATTATTATAAATATAACAATTATTTATTGCTATTCGAGGTTCAAATTGCCCGGGTAAGACAAAATCGCCCGATATTCCCATAACACATACACATAAAATTCCTGTATGGTGTACATGTTCTGAATGCGGTACATGTGGGGCCGCACAACAAAAAAACGCAAAATCCAACCTAATTTCGCAGTATATTCGCCCGCTTTTGGAAGGTTAGGTCGTCTCGAACTTGAGTTATTTTTTTTAATTAGAGTTAACCCGACTACGATGCGGTGGTGTACTGTACTTGTGCGATAGAAGTCTTATGTGGGGATACACGACAATGCACTATTGTGTTGTATGATTTTACTCGAGGGCATCGCTACAATAGACGACATATCATTATACCATATATATATACATAGACAAGTATACACGACGAAGCGAACGCCACTTCATTCCATATTATTATTACATTACGTACGGAGTAAAAAAAAAAAAAATAAGTTCTTCTTCGTCACGATATAACATGTGCTGATTGTTACCTAACATTTTCATATGTAATATAGTTAACTCAATTAAATGCAACGCTGCAGGCGACGGTGTGTAACGAAATCCTCGATCACGTCCCGACCGGATGAAAATTGAACGTTGCGGTTGTATCGCCCAAAAATAGAAAATTATCAACCACCAACGCGGTTATATTGGTATAATATTACATATACCATTTTATGTGCCGTGATGTAATATATATGGCGGTAATATTGATTTGTTACGATGCAAGTACATACATTATGTATTATATGTACATCACGTCGTCTTCTTTGCCGTTCGATCACGCGATCGTAAACCACGTTCTTCTTGTGGTAATATTGTTATATACACCCACATCGCTGTGACAGAAATGTGACACGTGCACATAAACACTATAACCATGATCGAGAACATTATTAACGATCGGGCAAGTGAATAAAGTTAAGCTACGTGATGAATCGGGCACGTACAGAGGAGGTGGAAAGTTAGGATTTCAACAACCTCCCACCCTCTACTGGCTGAAAATGTATATTTGCGTAACTGCACTCATAGGTGTAAACTGGAGAGGACAGGGGGAAGCATTTCCCCCTAGAATAAATTAGGAGGGACAATGCCCCCTCTGATATTTAACACATCTTATTTTAAAATAAATACAAAACAACTGGTTATAGCTATAACCATACAATTTTTTTTTAAAAAAATCTTAATTTTCAAATTTAGCTTGTCTAACGTTATGTTAGATAATGAATAATGAATAATTTTATATAATAATATTTAGGTAGTAAAGCGACTTTTTTGTTTAGAAATTATAAAATATTAAAAATGTCCATGTTTTTTAATGTATGTAAGTTTACGTAACTGATACCTATAGAGCGGTCCCAATGACCGCTGCTGTTTTTAGTTTTTATTTAGGTGATAAGATATTGCTGATATGATCACGGATGTAGATTGTACCTTTCTATGGATATAGCATTGAAATAATAACCATGGTTATGAAGGTTAATATATTAGATTTTGGTCGTCACAGCTGTTTAAATTTTATAAGCAGTCTGTCAGACTACACCATACCACTAATATTATTATTTTTCTTATCAAAAATTCGAATAAATCTCATACAATTAATTTTTTTTTCGTTATTTATTATAAAATAGAAAAAGCTATTATATTTTATTCAAGTTAATAATAAATAAATATATATAAAAAAAAAATTAAATTTTATATATGATTTTTCATTCATTTCTTTTAGTTTGAGTAGGTACATACCCAAAAAAAGAGCTATTTTTACTTCAGTAATTTTTATTTAAAAATTGAAAACTTTTCGTCAATTTTTTTTTTTTATTCTACTTCAAATTATGTCTACTACAATATTAAGACGTTTTTTAAGTTTAAAATTTATTTTAAAATGCTCCAGAGCTAATCAAAACTCAAGTAGAAAATTATATGATACATTTTTAAAAATTTTCAAAACATTAATTTATTTCCTTAAAAAAATTAAATTTGATTTGAAAAATTATCATCTAATGAAAGTTGACATAAAAATG